AACCCAGTTCGAGCTCTTCATCCAAAATGTGAGCCCCACAGCTTCATCATTCCACCCCCTGTGATTCTCTTCGGGGGATCCCTGTGCCTGGATCCCCGCCCCCTGCTCAACTCTGCCCCATACCAGATGTCCCACGGGGCTGCAAAGCAGATCTGCTGCTCTGACGTGGATGGGTGGGGAGTCAGTGTGCAACACACCCGGATGAGATTGGTAATTTCACTGCCTCGTGTTAATGGCTTTGGGGGACAGCATCACCCCAGATTAGTCCAGGCAGCCCCCAGATGGACACAGGGAGTTGCCTTCAGGCACGATCCTTCCCCCACCCAATGCTGCCCTCTTCCCCCTTCTGGTATTTCGAATGCCCTGTGTGGACGAAGAGGGAAAGGACGTTCTTCTTCACACGGCGCACAGTCAACCTGTGGAACTCCTCGCCTGAGGAGGCTGTGAAGGCTCAGACTATAACAACTTTAAAAAAGAACTAGATGAAGATTCGGTCCATCAATGGCTATTAGCCAGGATGATAGAGATGGTGTTCCTGGCCTGTCTTTGTCTGTAGATGGGTGACAGGGGAGGGATCATATGAGGATTACCTGTGGAACGTCTGCCGTTCCCCCTTCTTACAGCTCTTTCTCTTCTTTGTCTCCAGCTGAGGCTCAGGAGACAGGAAGTCCATGGTGACCGGCATGCCACGCCATGTGCTTGTCAAGATGTACATATTTCCCCCCGTCCTACCCGAAAATGGATGCTTCACTGTTGAGGAAATCTCGTTCCCCTGGGGTACAGAGCCCCCAGAAGGGTCCGAGGCTGGAGGTCAAAGCAGTGAGGCAGGGGAGAAATCTAGAAGGAAAACTTTATTCTGCAGGCAGGCAGGCTGACAGCTACCAGAGTGAGAGCAGCAGCAGCCCTGAGATACAGGTTTTTGGACCCTTTATACAGTATGCTCAGACAGTTTAGTTGTTGATCATTTTCTTTCACATAGCAAAGTCTCAGCAGAAGTACTCGGAGACGTTTCTGTTCACACCAGAAGTGCTAGAAGTAAGTTTTACAGAACAAAGGCACGTGAGAACCTGAGTGGGGAGCCTACAAGACAAACTGTGACAAAGATAAGAGTTTACATGACAATTTGTGACAGACTAGGCGTCGCCATGAAGTTGAGATAGGAGGCGTTTTCGGTCTTGATTAGAGTTAAGATGATTTTTCTCTGTTACAGGGAGAGGGGTCTGGAAAACTTTTAACCCTGACAGCAGTTTTCTTTTAGAGAGTTTTGATTTCCTGCACAGTCCCCCCTTAGACACAATTAGAATTATTTGATTTTTCTCCCACATCACCAGGGGATGGTCCATTTGAATACATTGATACTACCAGTATTTTGTCTCTGGGGAACTGGCTGGTGGCTGCTCCCCAGACATGAGACATGTCTGAGTAACACCCGACAGTCAAATCTTTTTCACTTTACCAGCTATTCTTATTTGCCAGGACAATAATGATCAGCTGATTATGAGTTTTCTAATGATCTTAAGCAAGGCACACTTGGCTCTAAATATATCAGAATCCTGTACAAGGGGTGAAAATGGGGACAGCTTGTCCCATGTCTCTAGATATCTCCTAAAGAGTCCCCATACCAGAACTCCCCCACAGAGTCCCCTGATCCCAGCCGTACTCACCAGCCCAAGCCCCAGGGGGGAGGAGAAAGGCCATGGGGAGCAGGAGCAAGAACTGGGCCTGCTTCTTCAGAGGCAGGGCAGGGACAGAGCATCTGCCTCAGGTCTGTGGGCTTTATAGACTCAGTTTAGGGAAAGTCGGGAGGCAAGAAAAGTCAGAGTCACACACACACTCTTGTTTAACTGCCTGTGCAGGTGTCTCGGCTTCCAACCACACGGACTGAGGGGAAGGGCAGACCCTGCATCAGCCCAGCAGCTTGGATCTTGCCACGGCCTGGCTGGGTCCCTGCACCGCTGAAAGGAGAATACCCTGGTGAGGATGCGTACAGCAGGATCCAGAACTGCTCTTGGTGCTGGCTCACAGCTGGGCACATCTGGGGCTATTAGTAACCAAGTCCAATCCTCACTCAGCTTCCTGCTGGTGTTTCTGGACTGGGCGCTAAGGGGTGGGGGGCAGCGACTGATCTCGGTGGCGGGTGGGAACGGGGCCCTTTGATCTGTCTCAGGGTGGGGCCAGACCTGAGCCAGGTGGGGCTGGGCAGAGCAGGCACCAGCCCCCTCCCAGCGACCACAGGGGGAGGGTTTCTGAGAAGCCCCCCATGACTCTGTGACCTCATGTGGGGGATGTGGCTGTTTCGTGACACCTGGCAGCTGGGAGCTGGACTGTGCAAAGGGAAAATAACACAGCGGAGAGAAGCATAGACCCGGCCTGTAGCTCCCTTCAGTATCATCCTACCCCTGCTCTAACCACTAGACCCCACTCCCTAGTCCCCTTCCCAGAGACAGAGCCCTGGAATTCTGGCTCCCAGAGAAAACGCAGAAGTTGTTCTCTCCTGGGTGTGTCCCACAGGTGGGAGCGTAGGAACCACCCACAGCACACAAAGCAACAGCCACATGATCCCTGGTCTGTCCCATCCCTCCCCCATCCCAGACAGCACTGTGCAAGGTCAGGCCCCCATCCCGGGATAACCCGTCGGCTGGGACATTGGACCTCCCCTTAACATGGACCCTCTGTAGTGTCGTCCCGTGGCAGCCGGCTCCACCCCAGCAGCTTGTCCTTGGCCCCTTCATCTGCTATAGCTCTTCAGGGGAATGGGAGGGGTTGGTTACCCCGTGAAATGCGGCCCAAAGAGATCCGGCTTCCTCCTACTGACACAGCGCCCCCGCTGACTTCTCTGTGTTTGGCTGCTGGACGACCTTGTAGGCACCCTTCCAAGCTGCTTGTTCTTCTGCACAGAGACGAGACCCACCCCTGACCCCGAATGGCGCAAAGTTCAGCCTTGTTGTGAACCTTTCAGACAAGCTGCAAGCACTGGAGGCTGTCACTGGGCAAAACAGCTAGAGCATGTGACCAGATCACATGACACTGAACCCCTCTATTTTCCTGCACTCTGGGCTTGGAACTCACCTGCGACCAAAGTGGTTCCCACCAAGCGGGGAAACAATAGAAGGCAGGGAGTGACCTTGCGATTGGTCCGCATTTCTCCCCAACACAGCACCTGAAAGAACCTCTGGGAGATGGAGGACTTGGAAATGGGGAGGCAAGTTTGCTTCTATCATCAGTCAGGGCAAGAAATTGCTCCATTAAATCCCATCTAACCCATATGAAAGAGGTAGCGTGTAGTTCTACTTACTGCCTAGGTGGATGGCTTTGATCTGTTTTGCTCTCCCTTGTAATCCCTGACAACCCATCCTCCCGTGGCTAATAAACCAAACCTGTTTAATGATTTATCGTAATCAGTGTGCCCTGAGACAGGTAAATGCATGGGGATGGATAGATAAGTGGATGGAGAATGGGGGGAAGAAAGAGAGAGGGAGAGAGAGATAATTGGTCAGAGGCATATTTAGATCGAGATAGGGTAGATGGATGTATAAGGATGGAAGGATGCATGGATATGGATGGATGGGTGGATGGGAATTGGAAGATTAGATCCGGTTGCAGCTAGATCTGCTTCAAACCCGTCCTCAATTTTCCAGACGTAGCAGCCTCAGGAGTCAGGACAAGTAACGGCACAAGTTGCTTTTCTCCTCTGAGTGACCTTCGGGCCCATCCCAGCCCGTGGGGAAACCTCCCGCCTCCACGGGTTCAGTTCCCAGAGCCTCACTGTGCCTGAAATCACTGAACCCAGGTGTCTTGGCACCCACACAACAGCAATAACGACCAGCCTGGCCTTCCCATAAGGTCCATCCCCTCCTGGCCTGGGCAGGTCTAGCAACTTCTCTGGAGGGAAAAGCTCTGGGTGGATGTGTCTTTTCAACTTGATTTTATTACAGGCTAACTATGGACAGGGCTAGCAGGACAGGGGAGCTGAGTGAAATGCCGTGAGGCAGGGGAGCTGGGCAGGGAAGGATCAGTGAAAGCAGCAGATCAGCGTAGAGATCACAGAGTTCCCCTCCCATCGGCCTATCCGCCTCCGGGACCAGGTGTGTTTGGAGCAGGCGGTAGATGCTCGCAGGGGCCAGCACATGGGGAAGACACAGAGAGGACGGGCTGGGGGGGAGGAGGTTGATGTTACGGGGACCAGCTCCCAAAAACCGTCACTTGACTGGCTCACACAACAACCCGCCAGGTCCACCCCAGGGTTTGGCTCCTCCTTAACGTGACCCAGACAGTCCCTAGCCCACGGGCAGAACCCGGCCCTGAACCTGGATCTTCAGTCTCCTGTTGGGGGAAGACACAGAGAGGACGGGCTGGGGGGGAGGAGGTTGATGTTACGGGGACCAGCTCCCAAAAACCGTCACTTGACTGGCTCACACAACAACCCGCCAGGTCCACCCCAGGGTTTGGCTCCTCCTTAACGTGACCCAGACAGTCCCTAGCCCACGGGCAGAACCCGGCCCTGAACCTGGATCTTCAGTCTCCTGTTGGGTTGGGTGTGACCATGGCAGAAAAGCGGTTGCGGGAGGCGACT